GGTGCAGACACCAGCTGGGCTTGACCTCCCATCCCAGGCATGCTGAGGCTGGGGAGACACCTCCGCTCCAGCCCCTGCTTGCAGCGAGGAGAAGAAGGGAAGGTCTATGAGGACAGATGGCAAGGGGACATTTTCTGGCCTCTGTCCCCAGCAAACTGGGTTCAGCAACCAGTGACTGGAGGGCAGCAGGGAAAGGCACTGGTGCACCCTGACTATGTGTGACTCACAGGTGGCAGCCGAGAGCTGGGAGAGGAAAGGAAGGCAGCGAAGGTTTCTTTCCAACAGATAAAGAAAGCTTCAAGGGCTTTTCACTGGTTTTTGAGTCACTCACTCAATAAAATCCATGTTGTTTATTTCTGCCTGAGCCCCAGCCAGGGAGCTCAGATAAGAACTTGATTTTCCTTTATTTCTAAAACTCCTCGGTTTGCCTTTTTTCGCCCCCACATCCAGCTCACACAGCTAAACGCTCGGCAGAAAAACCTCGTCACGATTCAGATGCCCCTGGAAACAAAGGCAAGGCAAGCCCAGCCTGTGTGAAAACCTTCCATTTTCAAAAGAAAGAAAACAACAAAAAAAAGCAGAAGTGAAATTTGTAAGAGAGGAAAAGATGGATGGGAAAGAAAAGAACCAAAGCAGGTAAATCTTATGCTGAAAATAATGCATCTGACCATTAGCGCCGACACAATTAGTAGATGCCCCAGGACCGGGGCAGAGGGAACCGCAGCTGCAGAGGGAACAGGCTACCGAGCCCCTTCAAGCTGCACCAACATTAAAGTTCCCCAAATACTCATCTTCAGACGAGCCAGAGTCCTGTCCTGACATCCTCACACGATGCCGTTTGAGGCTGTGTGTATTTTAAACCAGAGGACTGGGATTTGCAGAGCAAAGTCCAACCCGACGGGCCTGGGTCCCTGTCTCCTCCCGACAGCAGCGTTTGGTTTTGTTTGGCAGATTTTGCCCCCTGAGTTTCAATAAAGATGTTCTCAGTCTCCTTCATGGACATGATCCCTGCAAGAGCCCCTGGGCCGGGCAGGCAGGGCAGGCTGTGACGTGTGGTGACGTCCTGAAGCGGCTGAGGGAGCTTCGTTAATCCCAGCAGCTGCCACCCGAGTCTGCTCAGAGCAACCAGCTTGAAACAAGGCTGATTTGTCTCCCTCTCCCTGGCACAGCCAAGCTGCCAGACTTCCCCACAGAGGAAAGAAACAGCTTCCCTCAGCCCCTCGCAGTGCAAAACACACAGGTTAAAATATTTTCCTTTTGCTGTGAAGAATAAGGCCAGCTCCTCCTGCGAGTCAAGTGGCTGCGGTGCAGGGAGGAGTGAGGGAAAAGCAACTGGAAATGAAACTTCTCCATCATAGCCTGGTGTCCTGGTTTCACTGGGATAAAGTTAATTTTCTTCTCAGCAGCTGGAAGAGTTGTGGTTTAGGTTCAGGGTGGGATTTGTTATGAGAAAAAAATTTATATGGTACTAATGTTTTTAGTTGCTGCTGGAAATCCAAGGACATTGTGTTTTGCCAATCTGCAAGTGCAAAGGACTGATGGGGGTTGTGGGATTTGTTATGAGAAGAACATTGATAAAGTACTAATGTTATTAGCTGCTGCTGGAGCTCAAGGTCATGGTGTTTGGGTAGTTTGCAGGTGCAAAGGAGTGAGAGGGGAGATGTGTAGTAAATGGCAAACCCCAAATTGGCGTTTGGATGTGCCAGTGAGATATTTCAGATCATATCACGTCATGTGCAGTATATTAACCAGGGCTGACCAGAAATTGGGGGGATTCTCTCAGGGATCACTTGGGCTCTCACTCTTCTGGGATTGCAGTTTGGGTTTGGGGACGGTCTCTGCTCCAGGATCTCTGGCTGGGACAGGCTGGACATAGGTCAGCAGGTGGTGAGCAACTGCTCTGGGCATCACTCATCTGTATATCCTGTTATTACTATTATCATCATTATTATTTTATTTCAATAAGCAAATTGTTTTTATCTCAACCCACGGGTTTTCTTACTTTTACCTTTCAAATTCTCTCCCCTACTCCCTGGTGAGGGGAGAGCGAGTGAGCGGTTGTGTTTGGCTGCAGTCAAAGGAGTGAAACCACCAAGTCTGGAAAATGCCCAAAGGTCCCTACACAGATTTCTGTGATGGCCCCAAAGAGTTCAGCTCTCCTGAGGGTGCAGCAAAAAGGCAGCACAGAGTAGGGGCCTCACGTGAACCACAGCGGTACCTCTTCCCCCTGCCTCCATCAGTCCTGGGAGAGCCAGGGATGAACCTCCCAGTGCCCCCAGAGCACTGCCCACCCCCCAGCACCCCTGCTCCCCCTCTGACCTGTGAGAAGAGGAGGTATCCACACTCATCGCACGGCAGCATGTCATCCACCAGCACCGTGGTCCACGTGCCGTCCTTGCACAGCCGCACTTGGTAGGCACCTTCTGGGCACAGCGTCCTGGTGATCATCACCCTCTCCACCAGTCGGGCAGCGCAGGGGACTGCAGTCCGCAGCCGCTTGGTAAGGGGTGAGGCAGAGGATGGGGTACATGCCTGGGGGTATAAATGGGTTTGAGTAGGGTTGAGGGCTCTGATCTGGAGAAGGATGAAGTGGGGGGGGAAGGAGGAAGGGGCAGGAGGGTGTCACTCCCCCTTACCAGCAGTTTCCCAGCAGTCCCTGCAGGATATGCAGCGCAGGGGACTGCAGTCCGCAGCCGCTTGGTAAGGGGTGAGGCAGAGGATGGGGTACATGCCTGGGGGTATAAATGGGTTTGAGTAGGGTTGAGGGCTCTGATCTGGAGAAGGATGAAGTGGGGGGGGAAGGAGGAAGGGGCAGGAGGGTGTCACTCCCCCTTACCAGCAGTTTCCCAGCAGTCCCTGCAGGATATCCGAGGGTCTGGGCGTCCGAAACACTGACCACTTCACCGATCGGTCCTTGAAGATGCTACAGTTGATTTGGTGGGGTCGCAGCCACTGTTTCCCCCTCTGCTGCACGCTGTCGCCTTCCGGGAATCCCACGGACTTAGGTCCAGGGTGGAAACTGTCATCTACAAAATTGACTTTGTTCTGCGAGAGCGAAAGGCAAGGAGAGCATCAGTGTGCAGCTGTGCAGCACACAGCTCCCCGCAGCCTCCGGGGACAGGGCTGGCCTGGAAAGCCTCCCCCTGAACCCCAGGAGCAAGAGCGGAGCCCCCAGCCCTCCTGCCCAGCCCAGGCAGCCCCTTCCGATGCCGTCCCGGGGAGCAGCTCTGGGACCAGGCGTCTGCTGGCAACGGCACAGCTGCATTTTGTGCAGGTTCAGCCCTGCCACGAGCCACCTCACCTCTCTGGGCCCCAAGCTCCAGACTGTGACTCAAACCTGGCTTTTTCTGTTTCACAGGAACCTCCCCAAGCAGGGACTGTCTCACACTTTGTGCTGGTGCTAAAAGCTGGACCGTGGGGGACCTTGGCTGCCTCTCGAAGTGGCAAAGCACATGAGCAGCGAGGCTCTGAGGAGCCACCTGGCAAGGAAACGCTCCTCAACCCAAGCCCTGTGCTAAGGACTGGACTGTCCCTGCTCTGGAGGGGACATGCTGGGCTCGGCAGTGCTGTGCCACCCCTGAGGCACAGCCACGGAGGATGTCAGGGGCACCTTTTGCAATTGGATTGAGCCCTGACCACAGACAGGCAGGCAACTCCAGAGTGAGGGCATCCCATGGCCGAGCCCTCCTGTAATGAGCTGCTGTGTGTTAAATAAAATAGGATGGACAATAAAATAGGAAGGACAATAAAATAGGAAGGGCTAATTATCCCATAGGTATTAGCCACCGACACAGGACTGAAGCACAGAACTTCACCCAGGGGAGAAGGGTGGCTTTTTCAGACCGTTTAACACAGGGTGAAATAAGGACAGGGATTTCTTTGTTATTATTAATGAAATGAAATTAAATTCTTTCAGCAAAAGCCGTCTCTAATTTCAATTAGCTTTTACACACACCGAACTAGTAGTTGTCCTCCCTCCTTTGTTGCAATCCTACGTGAACACTTGCTACACGGTGCCTCAATTAGCACTTCCAGCTTCTCCTTTGCAGAAGGGTGAGTTTCAGCTGATCAGTGTCACTGCTTCAATACCAGTGTGGGCCAAAAAGGACACGTCCCAAGACTTGTTGGCTTTCTCAGGGGAAGCATCTGCTCTGTGCAGCTGATGAGCAGCCACCTCCTCTCACCACATCCCAGCTTCATACACTGACCTCTTGGGGTGCAGCCGGGGCTCCCCAGGAACTCACTGTGCAGAGCAAGGCAGCAGCCCACAAGATGCCTGTGGGCATCACAAGCTTTCGGTCTCCTGTGGAGTTGCTGCAGTGCTTTTCCAAGCAGCAGAGGTGGAAGAAGCCTTCAGCCTCACCAGTATCATGGCCAAGGTCTCAGCAGGATTGCAGGAGCCTGGACGTGAGCCCAGGGACCTCACCAGCACTGATGATGGAGACAATGCAAGAGCAGCAGCAGTGTGGTTCCCCAGCGCCAGGAAAGCCCGCCTAACGAGTTCATTACCTTGATAGTGTGATATCTCCCTTCACATACTTCTAATTGCTTTAGAGAAGTGGTCACTACCAATATC